GTTCCAGTCCCTTCATCATCTCATGGCCCTTTGTTGGACTCTCTCCAGTAACTCCACGTCCCTCTTGTACTGAGGAGGCCAGCACTGAACACAGCATTCCAGGTGTGGCCTCACCAGTGCAAAGACGAGGGGAAGGATCACCTCTCTTGACCTGCTGGCAATACTGTGCCTAATGCGCCCCAGGATGCCATTCCCCTTCTTTGCAGCAAGGGCCCACTGCTGACTGATGTTCAACTTGGTGTCCACCAAGACCCCCAGGTCATTTTTTGCAAAGCTGCTTTCTTGCTGGGTAGCCCCCAGCATATGTTGGTGCCTAGAGTTGTTCCTCCCCACGTGCAGGACTTTGCACTTCTCCTTGTTGAACTTCATGAGGTTCCTGGCAGCCTGTTTCTCCTGCCTGTCAAGGTCCCTCTGGATGGCAGCATGACCCCCTGGTATATCGACCACTCCTCCTGGTTTGGTGTCATCAGCAAGTGTGCTGAGGATACACTCTGCCCCACCATCCAGGTCATTAGTGAAGATGTTCAAGAGGACTGGACCCCTCACTGACCCCCAGAGTGCACCGCTAGTCGCTGGCCTCCAAATAGACTTTGTGCCAGTTTTCAGTTGACCTCCCTGTCGACTCATCTACCAAGGCTCATCCAGCCTGTACATCACAGCTTCTCTGTGAGGATCCTTATGGGAGAAAATATCAAGGACCTTACTGAAGTCCAGGTAGATGATGTGCACTGCTCCCTCTTTGTCTACCAGGCCAGTTGTTTCATCATAGAAGTTTTATTAAGTTGGTCAAGCATTACTTGCCCTTGGTGAATCCATGCTGACTAGTCCTGATGACTGTCTTGGCTTTCATGTACTTGGAAATGGTTTGCAGGATTAGCTGGTCCATCAGCAAAATTTTCTGCTTTTTAGAGAATTTTGAGCAATTTGGTCTCTCTTGATATCCACAATTCTATTGACTTTTCTTGCTTGCTGTGTAAGTGTGGCTTAATTTCATGAAGTGTTTTCAAGGGTGCTGTTCTTGACTTTCTTGTCATTCTCATATCCTCTTTTCCTGCAGCTGAACTCACTGGTAGGAGTTACATGTTTTAATTTCCTGCAACTCTGAAAATCTGATGGTTTGCTATGACTGTGAGCTGTTGGAGTTAAATATTGATTTACTGAAGTGTGTGTTTGTAGTATTGTATTATATGGGTTCGTTCTCAAAATACCTCATACAATCAGCTCTCTTCTCCCATCTGACAATGGGGAAGTGGCTGGGAAACCCTGGATGATATTAAATGTGGGGGGAGGAGAATGTGAAGGTACTAGATGGGCTTTGCACATGGCTCTGGCACATGGCTCTGGCAGGGCAGAAGTTCTGCAAAAATCCCTGCAAAGAGCCCTCATGCAACTTCCATGTGAAACTACTTGAGTGTGTATTGCTCCCCTAGTTCTGAGACAGTGTTGTAACTGTGCGCCACCTGGATTAATAAACCTTTCTGGAACCTAAACCAAGGTATGGTAAATATGAGTCTCTCTGCAGAAACCAGTGTGGGATGAGCAGGGTTGGGGCAGAGCCAGAACTAATAAATGCTGCTCATCTGAATTGGTCTGAAGAAATCTAGCTCTAGGTTACTGCTCAACTCAAGGCTGAATTAGGACTAAAAGTGATGTATAACTTCTTTTTTTTTTTTTTTTCATGTAATTTTTAAGCTATACACAAAGAGTATAACTACCTACAATTCATCCTTAGTTTGTTTTGAAATAAATGTTGTTTTAAATAAGGATAATCATGGTTTGCAGCTTGGAGTCGTGTATGTGGAGAAATCCTGCTTCACATTATAATAAACTTCTGTTGAGACAATCCTTTTATAGTGAACTTTCCATTTATGGGCAGTCCTTAGTTAAAGAAGCAATTGTTTGAATTACAGATGGGAAACTCAGTTTAGTATTCATAGTAGTATGTAGGATGGTGGTATAAGATTTTAAAGTGATGTGACAAAAAACAGTCCTGAACTATTAAGGGGGTTGTTATGACTTGCTGCTAAAAGGTGTTACTTTTCCTTTTACTAAAAGGATCATTTTAAAAGGTTGTGTCGTCTGTATGCAGTGAGAGCTTCAGAGCAGAATCAGCAGATGAGGACTGAAGCATTTAGTGGTGGGTGTCTTCATGGTAACAAGCTGAGCAGAAGGTGATCACAGGGTGATACTATAAAAATCTGGAGATATCTGACATTTACCTACTACAGCTTTCCAAAGACTGTCACTGTTGAAGAAGCTGCAGTACTTGGGAATTACTGACTTAAAAATCTGAGGATATTCAAGACGCATGCTGTAATTCTGTACTTGTCTTTTCAGGGGGTTCTGGGTGTAAAGCAGTCTCTTTTGTACTCCAGATTTCTGTGGTTTATTGCATGCACATTAGCTCATCTCTTCTGCTTTCTTTTAGAGTTGCTTCCAGTCTTTATACCTAACTTGATCTAAAGTGTTTTATAACTGCATGAGTTTCAATAAGGCCAAATGCCAGGTGCTGCCCTTGGGCCACAACAACCCCCAGCAGTGCTACAGGCTTGGGGAGGAGTGGCTGGAGAGCTGCCAGTCAGAGAGGGACCTGAGGGGGTTGATTGACAGCCGGCTGAACAGGAGCCAGCAGTGTGCCCAGGGGGCCAAGAAGGCCAATGGCATCCTGGCTTGTGTCAGCACTAGCATGGCCAGCAGGGACAGGGAAGGGATCTGACCCCTGTACTCGGCACTGGTGAGGCCGCCCCTCGATTCCTGTGTTCAGTTTTGGGCCCCTCACTACAAAAAGGACATTGAATGACTCGAGCGTGTCCAGAGAAGGGCAACGGAGCTGGTGCAGGGTCTGGAGCACAGGTCGTAGGAGGAGCGGCTGAGGGAACTGGGGGTGTTTAGTCTGGAGAAGAGGAGGCTGAGGGGAGACCTCATGGCCCTCTACAGCTCCCTGAAAGGAGGGTGCAGAGAGCTGGGGATGAGCCTCTTTAACCAAGTAACAAGCGATAGAACAAGAGGGATTGGCCTCAAGTTGCGCCAGGGAAGGTTTAGACTGGATATTAGGAAGCATTTCTTTCTAGAAGGGGTTGTTAGGCATTGGAATGGGCTGCCCAGGGAGGTGGTGGAGTCCCCATCCCTGAAGGTGTTTAAGAGTCGGGTAGACATAGCACTGAGGGATATGGTGTAGTTGGGAACTGTCAGTGCTAGGTTGATGGTTGGACTGGATGATCTTCAAGGTCCTTTCCAACCTAGATGATTCTGTGATACCATGCTTATTTTTGTACAAGAAAGAAAATGTGTGTTGCAGCATGCAGAGTGTGAATTTAAGTGTTGCTATACATCTTGAAAAAATTGTCAGTGTGGTAGAGGCAAAATCTGCTTTATTTTCTATGTCCTAGTATTATTAAGAGTAGAGTGGAATGCACTGGCTTTAACTTCTTCCATTTGTAACATGAAAATAAGCAAAATCCTGTAACTGAGCATACCTGTATTTTTGACAGATGTTGCTATGGTAGTTGCAAAATGCTGGTGGAGTATGTGATAAATGTAATATAAAGGTTACTAGAAAAATAAAATACATTGACATATTCAACGTTGCCGTGAAGCGGGCTAGTAGATTGTAGCTGTAGTTGTAAGCAGCATATTGACAAATGTGGTATCCCCAATGGACTTCATTTTTAGGTGTTTGTGTGTGGGAGTGGGAAGGAAGGAAGGAAGGGTAGGTAAGTGGATGGGGACCAAGTGACTTTCACAGCTGGTCTCTATAAACTTTTTGATCACAGCCCTTAACATAGCATGGTTCTCCTCTTTGGTGTTCAGGTATTGTAGCATAGCTGATGCATGTTTAAATTTCAATGATTAGTTACCATGTCATTAAGAAGCAAAAGCACAAGAGCATGAAAGAATAAAGATAGAAGGGAGGGACTGGGATTCTCTAGAGTTAAACAATCTTTACTCTGAGACCCCAATGATATAAATGGTATAAATAGCTGTCATTTATAAACATCATGGTAGAAATAACTTAACACTTGGACTTTGTATGCGAGATGAGGGAGCAAGAGTATTTTTGCTGTTTGGGGTGCACGTACAACTACAAGCAGATTCTGATTCTGATTTTGTTTTGTCATCTTCAAAGAGTTGTGTGGCCCTGAGCAGCTTGTGGAAGGTGTAAGTTTGCAAAGTGTTTGTTTACTTGATACACTTGTTTCTTTACTTTTTAGGGTCGGAGTCTCAGGAAGTTTGAACCCAAGTATAGACTGCGTGTATCTCTAAACTGCTTTTATAATTGCTTTAATTCTGTTTATGTGTGTGCATGTAGATGCATGGTGTCTTCCTCCCCAAGTATGTCTTCTGTGCTACAGTGTCTTGAACATACTTAATTGTTTGATGTTAAGCTCAGGAAGCTTGGCCATGTTTGAACTCCAGAGTCTTCACATGGCTCAAAGCTGTAAGATACTTTCTTACATGGTTCAGAGGGTCCCCAGAGCTTGAGGTACGATTCGTGTATAAGAGGTGATTGTGTCTCCTTGGTGTTTCTGTTGTTCCAGCAAAACACAAGACTGCAGGGTCAGCAGTGTTTACTGTTTGGTTTCCTGCCCTACCTGAGGATTTGGTTTACACCACAGCCAAAGCCAGCTCATTTTGTGATCTGTCACATGGTGCACCCTTGGCATGGGAATGGCACTTGAGTGCTGGTAGCCTCTTGTGGATCAAAAGCCACAGCCTGACCACCCATGGTGTTGCCAAGGTCTGTTTGAGCTATGGGTTCACCACATCCCTGAAAGCCATACTCAACATCTGCAGAATTTAAATATAAGAAAAATTGAGTTACTGTGAAGCACTGTGCTGTAACAGTGACTTAGTTTCACTGTTTGAAAAATAAAGTCAAACATGCTCAATAAGGGCTTTGAGGCTTATCTGGTATATTTTGTCATGTCCTATGACTTGGAGGTGAAGACTGTAGTTTATGTAGCTTAACTGACTGGTTTGGGATTCTTGTATTTTGCTAGGTACAACATTGATCCTGGCTTGTACTGTCCATTTTTCTCTCTTGGGGCGTGCATGGAAGGTTTGAACTCTTTGTTCAGTCAGCTCCTAGGAATCTCCCTTTATGCTGAACAGACACAGAGAGGAGAGGTTTGGTCTGAAGATGTTCGGAAGTTGGTAAGTATTCTTTTTCCCAGCATCTGAAATGACAAGGGGAAGTCAGATAAGATTGTGTGTTCTGCTGAGCCACAAATCACATTTTGTTTTTAAATTACTTGGGTACCTATCAACAGCACAGACTGGTTGTCTAGTCTTAGTTGAAGTCACACCTCAAGGGCTTTATACTCTCTCTAAGTGCCTTTTGTATGTTTGGTATTTTATGGCCTTTATAATATGTCTCTGTGTGAAGGGTGCCTGAATCAGAAGCAGTTTCCCTGTTTGGAGATTATTGTTGCACCTTTCAAGTTGTCCTTCTGCATAAGCCCTGCTAGTTTTCTTTAGTTTCAGTTGGTAGATGGATGTAGATGGCTAGAATACTGTAGGTGGATATTCTATCAGTCATGTGTCTTTGCCTCATTTTTTTTATTCTTTATGTCATCTTCACTTTGAGATTTGTTTTTTATGTCTTTATTTTTCTGCCCTCTTTAGAGGAGGGTGGAAATAAAAACTTGGGCAATAGTTTACTCATCAGATTCTCAGGTTCCTCTGTTGTGTTCCCTCCATATATTCACTGCCAGATCTTCACTGCTCTTCCACCTTGAGCCTGCAGCAAGAGCTGCTGTTCTTCATACTCTGTGGATCAATTTATAATTACTCCTCACTCTAATCAGTTTCTGTTACTATTGACTTCTCAGAAGTCATTTAGGGGCAACAGAGTGTGTTACTTTTAATACTAATCTGTGACTATTTAGTTTTGAGTGAAATTTAGAAATGGCTGTAGTTTGACGAACAAGTTGTGAATCTTGTATATATTTCTTTTTCAACTAAAATTACCAACAGATTTTACATTAATTATTCCCAGTTTATTTGTCATTTATTCATTATAAATTGGATTAGAATACTGTGTCTTTAATTTATACATCTTAGTGCTTTTACTCTGTAAATGATACTCCTTTTTCCTTCAGGCTGTTGTTCATGAAACCGAAGGTTTGCTAGGATACATCTATTGTGACTTCTTTCAGCGACCTGATAAACCACATCAGGTAACATTTATGATCTGATTCCAGAATGAGTTTTATTTGAGTAATGACTAGTGCTAGGCACATTTGCATTCAGTGTAAGTTTAGTAAAAGTTACCTCAATTTAAAACAAATTAAATTTAAACAGGGGAAGTCAGTAATGTCAAATGTGGTTTTAGGTAAATATTTTTGTAAGTAATCTTTCTTTTAAAAACTGTCACCTGATAGGCTGAACTCAGACTCTTTGTTCTACAGAATGACAGGCACTATGAAATGTAGAACTCTGTTTGAGAAATGGTAGATTTTTAAACACCTATTTTCTGGTCTACTATTTATACGTAAAAGCAACATGAAATTTCAGTATTCTCTGAAGGTGAAATCTCATAACGACAACTAATTTTTAGTCAAAATTCTACGTAAAATAGTAGACAGTTCTAACTGCTGTGGCTCACTCGTTCATGCTGCTTTAGTACCAGTATATTCACAATATGATGCTATACAACAGACACTTCACTCTGTAGAAGCTTCTGCAAACTTTTAGTGAGGCGGTAAGTGGACAAAATTTAAATCTACATTAGTTTAATATATTACTTTGCTAATATTTCACAATATAGTGTATGTGCTTGTGCAGTATATTTTATAAAGAAGTTATTGCTGAAGAATGAGGAGAGAACTTTATAAATTATGGATTTGGCACATCAGTAAATTTCTTTGAGCTGCTGATATTTGTATAGAAAAATTGAGAGGTTTTGATAGTTATAAAACAATAAAAAAGTTTATTATCTAAAAGCAATACAGTCTTTTCTTTATGAAATAAAGGTAGTTTCCGTCTGGATATAGATGGAACAGTCTGCTGCTGTTGAATGATGTTGTTAATGATCATTGAATTCAACTTGTGTAACTGAGTATATGTTTATGTTTAATTGTTTAATAATTTCATCATTGTTTTAGTATCATTGATATAATGATATTGGTGTCCATATGTTTGCTTTTATCTTGAAAAGGATTGTCACTTTACAGTTCGAGGAGGCAGGCTAAGGGAAAATGGAGAGTACCAGCTCCCTGTAGTTGTTCTTATGCTCAGCCTGCCCCGTTCAACAAGGGGTGCACCAACGCTACTAAGTCCTGGCATGATGGAGAATCTCTTCCATGAAATGGGACATGCTATGCATTCTATGCTGGGAAGAACTCGGTACCAACATGTCACTGGTAAAAAAGTTGGAATAGTGATTTTTTGTCTTTAGTTAAATGTTTAGTTTCTAGAATAAGGGAGTAGACATAACACAAGCAAACAAAACAAGAAAAAGAGGATGAACCAGAAATGGTTGAGTTACATTGATACTTCTACATCTTTGATGATTTGAAAGTACAATATCAGATCGCCAGATATTTTCAAAAACCCAACCAAACAACACTTGAATATTCTTCTCCTCCTAATAAGAATTAGGCATTTATATCTCTTCTTTCTGTACTGCTGATCTTTGTTCTAGCAGTGGTATCCATTCTTGCAAGTTTGCCTTATGTGGAGTTTATAATAATGGAATAGTTGTAGGATTGAAATAAATTGAGCTAAACTTGTGCCTAGCATAAAAGCAGAATGAATCCTGGGTTGGAAATGATTTAGGAAACTGAATTAAGGAAATTTAGTAAATTACTTCTCACAAGGAGTATACACTGGCAATATGGCAAATCTGTAAAGCCAGGCCTTTTCTCTAGTTGATTCTAATTAAAGCAAAATTAATAAATTAAAAACTTACTGTATTTGCAAGCATGGTTAACTCTTAGGCATTTTTATCATATGTAAATGAACATGAACGAATACGCAATCACAGCTTAGTGGGTGCACAGTAAAAGGGATATTGCCTTTTTCCATTTAGTGACTCTTCACAAGCAGTGGCAATGATTGTACTGGCTGACAGCTCACTGGCTGCTGTGGCCTTCTGCAGTTGTGACAAATGGGTCAAAGACATGTTCTGGCTAAAGCTGCTTTGGCATGGTAGTTTTCATACCTTCTGTAATAGTGTGCTGGCAATCCCATTTGCAGTAGATGCTTATTAAAAAACCCCAACACTTAAATAGATGAAATTGTAGCTTCCTTGTCTGAAGGATTTTTTTCTTTAATGTTTTACCATTTTTTTGTTACAGTAATAATACAAAGGGGAGTCCATGGTAGAGTTATGTGTTATCAACAGATACTTTGTACCCAGTGACAAAATAGTCTTTTTTAAGTCTTCCACTTAAAATAGACTGAGCTGTTTGTAAGTATGTCGCTAGGGAACATTGTTAAAACAAATGAACACTATATATTCTGTTTCAGTATAAGTTCTGTATGTTCCTTGGGACAGTTAACGGCACTCTCCCACCCCTTCCACTCATATGGCTTAGCTCATCTTGACCTTCAGGAGTATTTATAGGGCCGAAGTAACTGCTTTGATGGGCTTCTCCTCTTGTGGTGAATCACATGCATCTGCATGTCAAAGTCTCGAAGTGGCAGGAAATAGCTAATTTTGAGGATCAGACTTCCCATGACCCCCTGTGTATGGTTTCAGTGTTGCCTTAGCTCTAGACAGTCCTGTATCCCAGGGGATTTCACTCCAGATCTAGCATTGCACAAACAGCGTAGAAGATGAGTCATGTTGTTTCTTCAGAGAACCTGGGGTCTTTTTTTAGGATTTGGAATGTGTGAAAATCAAATGGCTTGTCCCAGGGGTGTCTGTCAGGGGCCATCTGCACTCATGAGACACTGGGGTGGCAAAGTATGGAAACAAGATGACTATTGGCTATTCTGAGAACAAAAAATTTGATATTGTAGTTGAGATGCACTGAGTTATTTGACATCTTTCCCACTCTCTTCCTGCCTCCCTTTTCTGATTAACATTCCCAAATATTCAGGAACCTATTCTGCTGGTAATGGGCCCAAAATGGGTAATACTGTATGTTTTTGACTTAAGATATTCTTCTTTTTAAGTTAATCTGACACTTTACTGTATGCATTTATTGCTTAATGCATATGTGCACGCATAAGATTTTTTTAAAACCTAGCTTGTATTCCATTTTAGTTCATCATGTAGTAAAAAATACCTACATTTATTTTACAGGAGGACTAATTTATCCCATATAACTGCCCAACCTTTTACCTTTCTGACTTTCAGATAATGCAATTTTTCAGAAGTTTCTTAGTGTTAAAATAATTCTGTCACTTTATTAAGGAGCACTGAGAAAGCATAAATGGCTGGGGGATATCAGTGTAGTTCTGCAGGCATTTGTCTTGGGATATGCCTTGCTTTAGGCTTTTTAAAAATTATTTTCAAATAACAAAAAAGACTGCTAATGAAGTGTGATGGTACAAAAGAAAGATTGAGGTATTGTATAAGAACTGAATGACTGGATAGTGCAGTGTTAGAAGTGAAATTCAGTTCAGAACTACACAGTGAAGGTTATGTATTTAGAGTGCTATCAAATGGATATTTTAACAGTGGTGGAGGAACAGAACAGTTTTATGTGTTAATGCAGAACTAAAAATAGCTAATGTGTCTGTGAAAGGGGCAAATGTGGTTTCAAATTACATCAGAGGTGTATCTAACAGCAGTAAGTCTTAGAATGATTAAGAAAGAAAGTGGTAAAACCTCATGCAATGCTTGGGTGTGGTTTTGTGTCTGGTCTGAAGGTGAATTCAAACTGAAGCAGGCGCAGAGACAATGGATCGTCTTTTAGACTTTATCTTGTCTTTGGATAATGAAGGCTGAGAGAGAATATAGTTTCTCAATTTAGGAGGTAAAAAACTGTGGGAAATGCTATTTAAATTAAAGAGCAGTGTTGGTCTGAAAACATTGAGTATAAACAGATTATGAATTCAGATTAAAAATTAGAGAAAGATTTGCGAAGATCAAAGGAGTGATTTTAAAAAATAGTCTTCAAGAAATAGTAGTAGAAGCAAAAACTGTGCTAAAGACTAGCTTTGAATGTTTACAGTGTCTCTAGAAGAGACACATTACCTCTAGGTGATGACCCAGTGGGCTCAGTATTAAAGCGACAACTTTGTACATCCGTAACTTTAATATAGAATGCAGCTTTGATTTGGTAATGTGTTATACTTCTTAATATCTTCCATTATGTAGGGTGCTGATAAAGATTAGAGTAAATAAGGTTTTTGGGAAAGTGTTTTTGAAAATACTAACTGTGAAGATACTACCTCATTGCACTTACTTAGGACATGTCTTCAATCTGTAAAGAGTGTTCCTTGGATGAACAACTTGGTATTATAAAGCAAGGTTAATAAAAGTATAAGTAAGCTCAACAAACAGATGGAAGCTAAAAATTGTAACTGTGAATAGGATTAAGGCAGAGTTTTATTTACATTGTAGTTTGATTTAGGTTTAGGACACTTAAATAGATTTGGTGTTTCATGTAGGGCCAGTTTGGCTGCAGTCTGGTTTAGTTTAAAAAGGGTGTGATCCAGAGCTTTATAAGGTGCCTCACCCAGCTGTTCAAATATTTTGTTTTACTTTGTGATTTATAGTAAAATGTGTAGTATTATAATGAAGCTTTTCTGGCAATATGTACAATAGTGCTATGGAAATAAAATATTGACTTAATAAGCAAAAGAACCCTAAAGTTCACCAAAAGTCCAAACTGAGAGTTGCAAAATCTTTTGGGAAGAGTTAACTATTTGTGTTAATGAAAATAGCAGATGCTAACATGTACAATTATTTTACCTCTAGGAACCAGATGTCCTACTGATTTTGCTGAAGTTCCCTCAATTCTGATGGAGTACTTTGCAAATGACTATCGAGTGGTTAACCAGTTTGCAAGGCATTATAAAACAGGGCAGGTAGGAAAAATTATGTAAACTACTACTAGGGAAACTAATATGTAAACTACTGAAAATAGAAAAGAATCATATTTTCATGCGTTGTTTGTTAATAATGTTTATAGTCGAAATGAACAGTGGGTAGACACTGTCTTAATACTGTAATTTCAATTATTCATTAAAAATGTTAGTATTCTCATTGCAGAAAAGCTAATTGTAATCTGTAAAAGAATACTAGATTGTTATATTCAGGGTTCCAATTACATTCCTACAAGGGTTGTGTAGTTTCTACACTACAAAAACTTAGAGTGGTAGGTGAATAACTTCTGTGTGAATCAAGTTATGTGGAATGTTTAATTACAGGTAAGTTATGACAAAAATAGTGATTCGTCATTGAACTGCTTAAGGTCTGTCTTAAAGATCGGGTACCAAATCATGGAGATAAATAGAAATGATCTGCAGTGTTTAGCACAGTGTAGGGTAGTCACTGAAATATTTTGTGATGAAAAGTTTACTGCTTTATTTATGATTAGATTAGGATTAGTTAGATTCTGGCAGTCATGAATCTCTGCATTAAAACTGATAGCTTTTTTACATAAAGCTATTCTATGTCAGTCTACTGCAAGGTTCTACTTTCCATGGGAAATTTAGGAAACAGTGCTCTTTGGTGACTTTCAGTGACTGTTTTAATGCATGGCAACAAAGTGATTTACATTTGTACAGCCATTTCTAAAACACAAACCAGTAAACAATAAGCAAAGATCTTTTTATAGTGCTTTTGATTGAGGCAAGTTTCAGTATACTCAGATGTGATGGTTGAAGAATAGACTACCCATCAATGCAAAAACAAGGAAGCCTCTTAAGTTGTGTAGTATTACAGTTTGTTAAAGCTTTTTATCCAGCACTAAGCGTTCGGTATATTTCAGTATTATGGAAGTGGAATTGTGTTTGCCTCCACATAACAGTTAGAAAAATACATTGCTTAACTTCTGTTTTAATACATACTATTTGATAAATTTGTTCTGTGTTTTTTTTTTTTTTTTTTTTTTTTTTTTTTTTTTTTTTTTTTTTTTTTTGCAGAATTGATTGCATTAAGAAAGTCTCCTTGAAACCTGGAAGCTAAAAGTACTCAGTTCAGAAGTGTTTACCATTTATATGTTTGAGACCACATACCAAAATAACTGCTTTCTAGTGTTCTCTATAAAGTTCATGTAGTGTTTAAACATTGTGGAGTTAATCTGATTGCATATGAGTTCAGAGAATGAGTTTGACTAAAACATCTGAAAGAGATTTGTGGAACATTATTTATGGCTTTGTATTTTCAAAATGGCTTAACAAATCTAAACCATGTTCAGTTGCAGTGGAAAAGCTAGGAACCAGACACTCTGTCCCATTTCATATTTCCACAAACAACTTCTGTTTATTGGTGGTGAAATCTTGCCCTTTCAGAGAGCAATTGAGAGAGAGGTTTAATGTAGAAATTCAGTCTTGAAGGGGGCAAGAATGGATTATGCTAGAAGATGAGAAAAGAGCCTGGAACTGTTGTGTGGCTTTTGAGGGTTTTAGTTGCCTTCCTTTTAATTGCTTTTTAAAAAATTTAGAATGTATTTTTAAGCTATCATCCAAGATATATAAATCTGCTTTTGCTTATGTTGGTTCATCTAATCTAGTTTTAAGAATCTGATATCAGATTTCTGTGTCTGACATTTAAATACAAATACATTGAAGTAATTTTTTTCTATTATTGAAATTTAATGATTGTTACAGCAATTACTTTCATCTGTTGTGTATATGTTACAAAGTACTTTGAGTAGAAAATCCCAGCTCTCTTACATTTACAACTTCACAAAAATCCTTTTGGGGCTTGTTTGCTGTGCTTGTACCCTGACTAGTTTTTTGGTGTGCAAACAGAAATTTAAATCAACATTTTCTTCTCCAGTTTTTTAGTTATTTGAAAGAAAAATGAGTCCATTTTATCCGCTTTCAAAGGGAAATAAGGAAGGTGGGTGAAACAGTCAAAATGTCAACTTTGTAAAACCATTTCATTCAGAAGTTGTTCCATATGAGAACTTCCATTAGGTTTCTTCTTATGAATAAAGAGACTGAGATTCTCTGTGTGAGAAGGATCCTTCCTGCAACAACCATACCAACATATCTCTGATGTATGTTGGCAGAAGGAGGGTTTTTTACTGAACTTGTTGAGGAGGCAGTGCACATAATTTGAAAAAGTATCCTTCTTTCTGCATTGCTGCATCTATTTAATAATTTTGCATGCAAATTTAAAGTGGTCATTATTAACACTCCTACTGAACATAGTTACATAAGAAAAACTCGGTAGCATAGTCTTATTTTATGATTGCTTTTGCCAGTTGCAGAACTGGACCTGAGGATCCTCATTTAGGATCAGTGATTATAGGAAGAGGAGGGGAAGAGGTGTTGTTTGATTATTAAAACATGTGAACTGTTGAAAACTGTTTTTTTGTAGCATTCCAGGAAAAAGATTTGGTGGGCAGGTTTTCAAAGATGAGAATGCATTATGCATACAGATGTGGATCATGAAGATCTGGTCCAGAATACCTTGAAGTTTATAGAATAGAAAGTTTGTCTCTGCTTTCTGTGCATTTTGGATAGTCATGCTGTTGAGTACTGAGGAGTGAAAAAGCTTGCAAGCTCTTCTGGCAGAAGGAGTAAGTCTTGAGAATTTAGTTCAGAAAGCTGGCCAGCACAAAAATATTTGCTCCAAGAAAGTAGCAAGCCTACTTTTCCTTTCATCTTGAGATAACTCAACACAGTGAATCTGTTGGGGGGTGGGGGGAAGATATAGGATTGTGTTAATTAGTTACTAAAGTTGAATTACTCGGGTAAGCTCATGAAGTCAAGCCGTACCAAAATTAATTCATAACAGTGTTTATGAAGACAATCTGGTGCATGTGTACCATTCTGTATCACTCTGTGTGTTTGTTTACTTTCATTTGTTAAGTTCACAGATATATGTGGTAGGTCTATCTGGCTAAATCATTTTAAGATTGTGTGTCTTTGGAGGCTCTCCTGAACAAAGGCCAGTACTTCAGCTGTTCAAATTTGAGCTGACTTCATTTTTCACAGAGATGGAATTACAAAGGCAGTATTGTATTAGCATGATTACAAGAATAAGCCCACAGATAGTAAATAGTCATGTGTGGCAGTTACTTCACAGCAGTAAGGAGTTAAGTGTGCTTTGGGACACAGGGAATTCTGTTCTTTTAGCCACCATGGCAGACATGCTGAAAAAGTCATGCCAAGATCTTAAAGCTACTTAATATAGAATGATGGAAAAGTGGAACCTGAAGTAAAGCATGTAGCGTTTTAAAAATGGAATGGTAATTCAATTAATGTAGTTTTAGCCAAAGCTCTGTAAAGTCTTTCTTTCAGAAGGAAGATGATAGTTTGATTCTGGACTTATCGGTAGGGCTCATCTTTCAGGATAAGAAAGATAATCATGCTGGTGCATTTTTTTTCTTGACTCAGCTGCTTATTAAGGGGGTATGAGATTGTAATGGAGCAAGGAGAAATAGTTTCTATTGCCTGAAACAGTACATCTTCCTCTGTACATCCAAGACCTCAACATATCTGTATGCCTGACATTCACAGAAACAAACTTTGGAGAGGAGTGGTGACCTTTGAAAAACCCTCTGGAGTTCCCTGCAGTTTTAAAGTCCCAAATGTGCTTTGGGAAAAATAAAGCAATCTTCTTTTTATTATTTCTTGTGCCAAATTCTGCTTGGCTTGTGAATTATGATCACAACACAATCTTCGAGCCAGATCAGTAGCGCTGATAGATTTAAACAAAAGAACATTTATATCTTTCTCCTGTGCCTTTTTGTCAATAGGTATTGTTGTAAGAATGATGTTATAATTTCTTGCTGATTTTAATCTGCTCAAAGAGTAGAGCTTGATCTTCAGGGCAGAGTAGATCTACATTGTTTGATATTCAGATGATTGCAAAAAAAAAAAAAAAAAACTTTGGTATTACCTACACTTTATTGGTCTCTAGAAGGTGGTGTTAAGCTATCTCCTGTGCAAAGTCTGTAATAAATGCTTAGCTCTGAAGTGAGAATTAGACCTGCTTCAGTTGTTTCTTGAGTGGGGCTGGATGTGACCAGCTGTCCCAGGGAGTGCACAGAGTCTGTCCACATTGCTAAACCTTGCAGCTCTCTGCCTCAGTGAACTGCAAACTTGGATTTCCTGATTCAGTTGAGGATCTGTGGAACTTTGGTTTACCATAATGCCAGTTAGAAAAGTCTTAGTGCCTCTTGTTCTATTTATTTGGTGTACCAGCTGAAAGCCTGTGCTCTTAACTACTTCTTACCATCATTTAATATAGCAAAAATATAAAATTGAAAATCCATTATGTTGAAAGAGCTGGTTTGACCTTACTGGTAGGAGAGTTCTTGGCTTTAACCATGTTAAATTATAAATGTGTAAAATATACATGTTTGCTGTTGCCAAACTTTTAAATGTTCGGCTTTTTTAACACTGGCAAATTACAATTTAAGAATTCCCATCCACTTTTCTCCTATTTTACTGTATCCAAAATGCAGGTTCTCTTAGAAGAAAGCAGTTTTGTTTAATAACATACTGTATTACTTCAGTAGGAAATTAAAGCCTCCAGAAAGCTGCCAAAACTTGCTGATAGGTTTGGTGCTTAATAACAAAATCTGCTCAAAATTCTACACGTTTCCTTACACAAGGGTTTTTGCATGACAACTAAAACTGTGTTACTGCAAATCCACATTTGCTCTAGTTCCAGGCTGAAAAGTTGTTGCAGTGCATGACTCAGTCAGTGTAAGAGGATGAGATAAGAGATGTTCATAGAGCCAGGAGAAAAATTGTCCAACCAACATACTTTTTAGCATTTGTAATTTTATTCTATTTTGCTTCTTGCCTTAATAACTTTTTTACATAATTAAGTAGTGTTTTGAACAATACTAATTCCAGTATGGCACGTCAAATGAGTGTGCTACTAACATCTTTATTACTATGGATAACTGCCCATTACTTTAGGAGTCCAAAATCATCATGTAATTTGAAACAGAATTTTTGTGTTTAGAAAGGATAAATGCTGGCCTAACAAGAATATACTGTAGGACAGACTTCATGTTCATTGTTTCATTTTTCTGTGTTGAAATTTAACAGCTGTGCATATTTATGACAGGCAAAATAGTTGGTGGAGTTCTATCCCATTCTTGACCCAGCTAACATTTGTCTTGGAGAAGAGGTTACAAGCCTTGGCAAGCTACAGCATAAAACAGCTGTGGAACTTGAGAGTTTTTCTTATCTGTTTTAACTTCCAGATTCCATAGAGTTAATTGATAACATTTTTGTCACTTATGCGTAGCTTCTCTAGAGTTGGATTTTTATTCTGTGAACATTAACATTGTTTATTTGAAGTCATGTAATTTGCGCAGAGTCTAAACATGTGCCTCTGCCATCAGGATCTGTAGACTTTCACGTTTCTTAAACACTTCAACACACTGTAAAATCATAGGTGTGCTTTTAAAGTTCAGTGTAATACCAAACATCTGTATTACATTTTACAACTTGTAGTAACTTAATATTTTAGCAAGAATCCAGTTATTTTAACCATACTTAATATGTTTGGTTAATAAAACTGCTAGCAAAAGAAAATGCTTACTAGGCAAAACATCTATTGCAAAGCTTCAGGAAAGAACAGAAGAAGTATAAGGTCGAGCGTTCACATAGAGATATTCTTAAAAATCTGGCATGAAGAAGTCTTTGGATGTACTTGTAGAAATCTGAATAGAAGGTAAAAAGAGTTTGCTAATGGCTTGAAAAATGTCTCTGACTTTCAGCATGTGGTGGCATGGATAATTTTGTTGCCATAGATTAGGAATAAATTCAACTTTGTTGACAATTTAAAAGGGTAGATATTTACTGTTCAGTGTGACTGAACATTTTTATGCGGCAGAAGGCCTGACGCTGTCACAGTTGAAGTTACGAAGACCCCACTAGCTCATTGGGAGTTATGTGAGCCTCCATGTCAATCAAAGTGAGCTATGCTCAAAGACAACAGGAGAATCTGTTGTAATACCTGCTTTTGAATACTAGTCAGGGTGACCTGGGAGGACTTTAACTGTGCCATCTGTTCTTTATCTCTAAAGATAGTCATAATATTTTTAACAGTCATATAAGGGAACATAGGATTAATTTAGAGAAAAACAAACACTGAGACACAGTAGTTTCTTGATTGCTATGTAAATTACTGCTGATATCTTAATTGAGATTTCCTTTCTCAATGCAAAGCACTTCAATTATGTTTTTATTACCACCATGAGTTTTGTGTGTGTGTGTGTGTGTGTGTGTGTGTGTGTGTCTCTTCAGCCTTTTCTAGTAGTAAGCATACTATTTACAAATGCACAACAATTCTAAATATATTCTTTTTTTTTTTTTTTTTTTTTTTTTTTTTTTTTTTTTTTATTCAAGCCACTACCAAAAAACATGGTGTCAAGACTATGTGAGTCCAAAAAGGTGTGTGCTGCAGCTGATATGCAACTCCAGGTATGTTCTTTGCATTGTAGTCACTACTTTCTATCCAGAACTTTCAGAACATATTTTAATTCTTCTAATTTTACCAAATTTTTATTTTGATGTAGACACATTATCTAACTATATGCAAATTAATGAAAATAAATTAATATTAATTTTCATGTTTGATTCTGTGAATGTATTCTGGGCTGTCTGCTTAAATGTAGGTGTCTAAATCTGTTACTGTGAAAACCAGAGTTTTTGGAAATGGTTGGATTATCAGACTTCCCAAATGTGGTTTAAGAGTGAGTTCTTAAATTACAGAATCATTTAAGGAGAACTTGCTGTAGAGAAAGCACTGTGTACCTTTGCATCATTAATGTGTAGGAGGATTGAGAGGCACAGGCCACCTTAGTAAAGTCAAACCAGGTTGTTTATGTACTAGAATGTGATTAGAGCTCCTTGTCTTCTGCAGCTCCAGTATGAAAGTGCCAACTTGTTACTGCCATCAAAGTTAGTGGCTGAGCTATAAGGCTGTAAGACTTCTTTCTCACAGTGTTAGGAGCAATAATTAAGTTCATAAAAATTTATTTTTGGTGGGTTGATGTTATTGATCAGTCATTTTCATAAACAAACTATCAGTGTTACTTTTCTTATAAGGAAGTAAAGGAAAGTAGGGTTCTATCTAAAATGGGTATTTAGGGTTTTTTCAGTCCTGCAACAGCAGTTCTCAGGTGTGAACAGCAGCATTAGCATCCAACCAAGTTCTTTTACAGTGAGAGTTTGGCTGCATTTGGTATGCTGCAAGCTTCCGCTTTGTGGTATTTGTGATTTTGTTTTCTTTGCTTTGCCTTAATTCAGAAGCATATAACTTTACAGTTAGTCTGGTGTTTAGGTGAGAACTCTGCTAGTACCTTAATAAAGGGTAGTCGTTATTTTCCAGATGTGGAAAGAAAGAAATTTAAAGATCAAATCTTTGTAGTTCTTCACTTTGAAAAGTGCCCAAATGATTACAATTCTGTCTACAAACATGAGTTGTGCTAGTTAACTGAAGCTGATTTCAGAGAAAAGCTTAGTTAAATATTTGCAGTTTACTCTGTGCGTTTTTTTTATAGTGATTTAAAACTAATCAGAATACTGGTGTGTGGACCTGCAAATGTATGTGTCAGTTACACTAGTTAAAACCAGACTTAACACTGTTTTCAGTGAAGACCTATATTTTTCATTGGTTAAACTTAACAGCTTTTTGAATTATGCTTTCAGTGCAGCACTCTCTGTCAGTGACCAGTGTTGGCTATGCAGGTATGAACAAGGAGAGTACCACCTGTGGCTATACCTCTGTGACATGAAAATAACTGCATCCTTTCTGTAGGTCTGATTCTGAAATGCACACCACTGGCTCTGAAAGATTCTCATCTAAAGATAGTTGAGAATGCAGAAAGAATGTGGGAAAAAATATAATTAATTCCTATAGGAGTTTTTTTGAAAAAAAAACAATTCTGAATTGAAATTAAATTTATACTGAGAATACTTAGTCGTGGACCTCTTCATGAAATCCACCAACACAAAATGATTTGCTGTGTACAGACTGGTAGCCATCAAAGTGATGATCAAGTGCTTTCACATGCACCCATTTTTTTCTGGTGTGTCCATAACAGCTATATGTAGATTTGACAGATTTCGTTTCAACTTCTAACATGTATTTGCTATATGTCAAGGTTTGATACCTAATTGACATTATGGGGACTAAATGGGCTTGGATAGCATGAACACTTCAAGTCACAGATATATTAACAAGTGACATGGCCTTCCTGTTCTGTGGCAGGGGAGATGATGTGCTCCAGAAGTCAATCAAGAAGGGGTCATTGCATTGGTCCCATGTGGTGGGCCATGCAATCCACGTGCTGCTTCTGGTCCTCAGCTGCTCCTGGGGTCTCTGTAGTCCCAGAGTGACTCCATACCTCCTAGCTTTAGAACTGGGGAAAGAGCACCCGCTTTTGGTGGGCTCAGATTCCTGTGGGTGCCTAATGATTGACTGGTGCTGGCAGTGATGCAGTGATTGAGCAGGCTGCTTGCCCTCAAATTACTCTTGTGTAAGTAATGTTCAACCAGTCTCAACCCATGCCAGATGACCACAATGCCACACTGAATAATATTACTAATTTCCTATTTTCAGCACCATGTTTTTGGAGATTCCATATGTAATACCCACAGAAGTACGCACTCATTTCAAAGAGACAGACTGGCAAAGTTGTTCTATTTATTACGTCACAAAAATGTCCCAGAGAAGTTGACTGCATGGCAAATAGAAAGTTCATACATTCCCTTGTAGAAGTGTGTATTGTTATTCATGCAGATCTAAAAGTATGATAATTCATTGAAGAAAAACATATTTCAATCTGCAGATTCCAAAGTATATATGTACTATTGTGAATGGTGACTCATACCTTTCATTCAGACTTTGCAAAGAATATATTCTATATTGACAACTATATGGTATGTAAGCCTTATTTGACCTTTGAAAGAAAGAAGAATGCTTACAAATTTTCCAGCAGTGGGGAAAAATGCCTAAAGGTTCTTTTGTGGGCTGTAGAAAATAAGTCTATTGGATGTGAAAATTAAAAATTATTCTGTTTTATCATCATAACTATAACACCTTGGCATTTTCTTCCAGCTCATGTAATTAGTTACTCAAGGGGAAAGATAGGAAAATCCATGCATCTCCTCATAAGGCTTTTGCTATGCAGGTTGAGTCCCAGAGTCTTTCAGTCAAGTAGTAACTTCACTGGAAAATGCATAACTTTACCTATTAATCCTATTAAGCAGACAAGGAGCTAGAAAGAGATGGAATCAAGCAAAACTAATAAATGCCAGTGTCAGTGCAAAATAGAAAGACAGCATGAAGATAACTATTTGATGGTATTTCTATATTTTCAGGTCTTTGGGGAAATGTGTTTTACTGAAGTTAAAAGTCATCTTCTATCTACTGATTATTATTGTTAGCATGCTCCTCAGCAATATCACCTAAAATCCTCTGGTCCCAGGATGTGTCTCCCTTTCCCATTTCAAAGGCCTGTGTAAACACACAGAACTGTTGGTTTGTAGATGGGAATGTTTATAGCTATAAAGTTCATCCAAGTTTATTTTCAGGGGTGGATTTTTCTGTTAACTATGCTGTCCAGGTGGCCTGGCTCAATAGCTTTCTTCCCACGCTTTACATGTGCCAGGATCAGGGGAAAGCTTATAGCTGGCTTGAGTGACTCATTTCCCTATCACCATGTTGTTCTTCAGGCAATGCATTTCACTGACCTTCAGCTGACATTTCCCCAGTGCCTAGTGTGAGTTGAGCTTTTCCTTCAGCTCCCTGACCACAAACTACTCAGCTCCAAATTTTACTCTAGAGAAGGTCCACTGCAGCGCAATCTGTTCTATCTTGTGAGGAACACTGAAGAGCAACCGCAAACAGGTCCTAACAAAGCTAGGAGATAGAAAAAAGAATCAAGGCTGGGCTTAGGCAGGATGCTAAAGTCTATTGTCAGATGTGGAAGTTCTTCATATTTGGTTTGGGTTTTTTGAAGAGGTGGGGGAAATTGGTTTGAAATTACTCCTGCAGAGTCACAAAGGGCTAGGAGAAAGTGAGTTTTCTAGGACTTTTACGTCAGGTAATTTTCAGATCTATTCATGGTACTTACTGTTGGTCATATTCTCAGTCACCCTTGCTACCTTAAATGCTGTAGCTTTTGTTAAACTTTATTAAAAAATGAAATGGGATTCTAGAGACTAGCTCTGAGGATGAAAAGTACAAGCAAAGGCATTGTGAAGCCTCTCTCGTCAAAGATAAGAGTAAAAAAAATTGTAGTTCTTACACTGTAGTATAGGGTTTTCTTTAGATTTTTAGTTTTTTCTTGTTATCAATATAATGATGCCAAATTGAAAACATCCCTGCAGAGTTCGATTTTGAAAAATACATTGTTTGCTATTTAGTGCAGTGTCATTGTGGAGTTATCCTCTGAAGAGGTATTTGCTGCCTGCTCTGGGTTTGTAGATGGGCAGTGTAAAGTGCTTGCATCTCTTGTTCGATGTTGCTATCTGGAACACAAAACTTGCAGTGTCATTAATGGCTGACTGTTCAAGTTTAAGTCTTACTGACCTCTTTTCTCATTACCCATGTAGGAAGCAAGCAGGAAATTCAGGAGTAGCTCCTGCAAGTCATGGCTTCTTCATCCCTCTCCTTGTAATTCTCAGTTTTTCTTGAAAAGATATCAATTTTCACTGTTACCATTTGTGAACAAACACTGTCAAAGGATTTATCAAGATTCTGTATGTTAGAAGACAGCTTATTCAAACAGAAGGAATATGATCCTTTCGAAACGCTTACAGTTTGGGTGAAAGTATGTGTTGTATGCAGCCCAAATAAAATAAATGCTAAAGTCTGATAAATTATTGAAGAGTTCAGAATGGTTTTGTACCCACATTTCATAATAATCTTTTCACAGGTTAAGGTGGTTGTGTTATTCATATCGCATAAAACATCTATTCTCCATGGGTGGAGAATGCCTCCAAGCAGCCTTTTGTCCATAAATTTTCTGCATTTCATAGTTATAACTTCTAAAACAGTGTGTTTATCTCATTAGGAATGGTTATTGCAGTGTCCCTGGGAGTGTGACTGGGCTTGAATCTCTAGCAAAATGATTTGCTTCATCCCTTGCACAGAGGTTTTTTGCGGCTCCCTCTTGTCAGTTTTCCTAAGAAACGTGCCTACCACAGGATGACCTGACCTGAACTCTTTGGCTTCAATATTTGGATCTGCCAAACTTCTCAAAAATGTCTTGTGTTTCACAGCAGTGAATGTCCTCTTCTGTCTTTCCTGCACTTCCACAGAATAGGAAAGCATATTAAAAAAAAGAAATGCTGCAGGTTTTTTTCAGTGATGTCACACATTGAAACTTGGTACTGTCTTCTATCCATGCCTATTTCTTGTTTGCTGTTAAAGTGCCAGATAGTCTTTTTATTAAATCTTGTTTAAAAATACTCTTTTTGAAAAGGGGAATCACTGGAGGGCTTTAGGGACAGGTCTTAATTTTTTTTTTTTAAATGCAGGTGATTTAATACTGCCAGTGTTCTCAGTGACCTAAATACAGATTTATGATAGGTCATGATGGTGGTGATTGTCGTACTCCAAAAACCCGTTTCTCTCCTTGTATGTTATACTAAAAATAGAAGATTTACCAAACCATATGTTTAAACTCTTCCTTCTTCCTAATCTCTCTCCCCCATTCTTTTCTGTTTGTCTTTTTGGGTTGCCAAATGCCAATGCTGTTTGCCAAAGACAAAGATTTATTTTGTCTCCTCAGGTATTTTATGCTGTCTTGGACCAAATCTACCATGGGAAACATCCTCTGAGAAAGTCAACCACAGAAATTTTAAAGGAAACACAGGAGAAAGTTTATGGATTGCCATATGTACCTAATACAGTGAGTAGAAACATACTGACTGTATAAGCTACACCTTTTCTTTGATAGCATATTAATACTTCTACCTCTCCCTGCACGCTCACATACTTCTTCTTGTGTTGTTATGTTGAAAGAATTTTCCTTCTTTCAGCCACTTTATCTAGAGAGTACAGTGTTGGAAATTTTCAGCTAAAAATTAAAATTTGATTATGTACTGTTCTTGTACAGGTGTAGTCGTCTTATGCTAAACTTGATTACTTTTTCTTTTATTTCCTTATTAAGGAAGGCATTGGAACCAATACATGGGAAAGAGGGTTTATTCTAACTTTGGAAAGGACTGTTTGTAAAAGACAACAAAACACTGTGCTGAATGTTGGCATTTGTATACTGTCAGTGTCAGCATGTGAGAGCAAGTCAGTGTGAAGTAGACTTGGAAGTGAGTTTTTCTCACTGTAGTGCTGTGACATTTGGCATGTCACTTATGCTTTCATGTGGTATCTGAAAGTGTTAAAGCCTTGAGTTCTACTGAGCTATGTAATTTTGATCTTCGTCACGACTACTTGTACATTTGTTCTGTGCTTCATGTGACATTCAGAGGTTCAGTTTGCATAGGTGATAATCATGGTATTCCCTGGACTGTCTGGAGTGGAATTCCCAGCCAGAGCATCACCTGAATCACTGTTTGATGCTTTGGTTAGAATACCCAGACCTCTTCTCTGCTTTCTGCTTCTCAGGAAATGTACTTTTCTCCTTAGGAAAAATGTGACTTCTGTTCTCTGAGAAGAAGGGTATTAGGCGATTCATGCTTCAGCTCTTTCCTCATTAAACTGTGTGGCCTCTGCTGGCCTGGCATACCCAGAGAAGTGAAAGCAAAATGTCTTCAGAGCACAATGTCTGACTTCTTAGCATTTTTATAAGTGTTATTTTACACTGTTCCTCTGCAGGTGTTAGTTAGCTTTTGAATAGAACACTTTCCTGCTTTGAAAGTTAGCCTGCTTTTTTTTTGTTCCATTTAAAATATTTTTTATTTAGCTGTTACTTTAAGAAGAATGTAACATCTTGTAATGAGCATAGCCTCACTATGAAGAGAGACAGCAGATTTTGGCCTGAAACTTATCTCAGCAAAATGTGCTGTGAACTTTTTGAATTGTCAGAAAGTCTATATTCTTTACATATATTGAATGTAGAATTAGTGTCTCTAGTCAAGAACTATAATACAACTTAAATTTCAGTAAAACTTACTGAAAAATAACATTAGAAGAACAATTAACACACTGTAGAGTAATTAGTGTCTGCAGTTTGCTTGCTGTCCTTTGCTGCTCTTTCTTCCATACTTAAGATATACCTTTAATTTAATTTGTAGTCCAGATTTAAAAATGTCTTGAAAGTAAAAGTTGGGGTTTTTTTAAGTGACGAGAGTATATTCTTTCATTTAATTTCAGAGCTAAACATTGAAATATATTAAGAGAGACCAACTTTATTTTCATCTGTCATTTGACTAGGTACATATATGGCTTGCAGTGAAAACGAAGTATTTTAATTACTTGAATTTTATCTGTTCTCTATAGGTTTAGATTCAATTATGAATTGCTAAGTCAGGCTTGTATATCTTAGGTTAGTGGTGCTGGGTAAAAGTACTTCTTCCTTAGTGAAGATCTTAACTCCATTAATGTGATTTTCTATAGTAGCATTGTCTGTCAGGGCTTCATAAGCATCCGTTATTATGTCCTCCTAATAAACCTTAATTCTCTCTTACTGCTCTTGATAGGCAAGTAAATTTAGTAAATATCCTCTGAATGTACTTGGGCTTTAGTCTCATTATGCATACTCATTTTCTGAAGTAGAGCCACAGAGTATATCTTCAGCAGATGAATTTCTGTCTTTTTAAGGCAAAGCTTAGATAATAGGATAATTTGTATATATTTTTTTGTGACAGTACATTCAAAATGAGGCACATCAACTGCACCTAATAATTAAATGCTGCTGTGCCTATGTGGAGATACCTATTTTAAGGTAAACCAGTGCATCATCCTCACTAAATACTGTGTCTTATGTGCCAACAGTAGGAGAGATAGTGGGAAGAAAATCCCGTTGAAGTCTGTGTTTACCATTCAAATAGGTTGTACAGGCATTGGGACAGTTGGCACTGCATGCAGTATTATTTACATTGACTGCACTGATACAGATGGTCGCAGAAGCTAGTGCCACATGCAAGGCAGAAAGGAAGAATGGAGCAGTCTGTAGACAGACGGAAGCACTGAGAAACAGTACTCCGTGAGATGTTGTTTTGCTGAAGAATGCAAATCTCAATTCCTGGCTGGCCGTTGCTTATCTGTTCAAAAGTACACAGGGTTTGCTGCTGGCTCCTGGAGGATGAAATTCCACTGGGATTTCTTTGCTCTATTACCGAATCCAGAAGCTGACAACTTCCAGGTAGGGGGCAAAGAAATGTATCTGCCTGTTTTTGGAGTGTCTGTTGGTTTTGTTGGCAGAGCAGATTTGTGTCACTGAGTTTGGAAGATTAATAGAAATTTTGTGCAGGCTGGATCTTTGAGTCATTGTGGTGCCTTTACAAAGAAATAGTCTTCCTTTGACTCTTCTAAGAAAGCAAGATAAACCAAGTAATAATGACCACATATTTTCTTGCTATTTCTTCCTGAATGTACTTGGTTACAAAATCTGTGCACTGTGGGGTACTCAGTACTCTGCTTTTGCTTCAAACTTTTCTTCACATCATAGCTTATTTCTCACCTCTTGTGAAGCCAGTTTCCATTTATTATGGCCTGTCTTTCAATTGATAACACTGTCTGCTTTTAGAGTATCTCCCCTGGTCTCTTCTACCTTTGTCTCCAGGATGCCCAGAAAGACTATTAAAAAAGTATCAGGTGACCCTTTGATCAACCTGAGACATGATCAAAGTTTCTCCCCATGATCTGTTGCTTAGTCCCCTGCCTGTCCCCCAAGTTCAGACTTGAAAACTACTTCCCTTTGAGACAGTCATCAAAATGTAATGAAATGCCATTGTTAGTCCTGTGCCAAGCATAATAATTCCTATCTCCTGCTGTGGGTTTTGGTTTAATATCGTAACAAAAAGTGAGACATGGGGTGAACAGGCTCTGCAGTGATAGTGGAACTTGCAGCCTCCTGCAGTTACAGGAAAGGACTCCCAGTAATGAAGTGGTTTTACAATAAACAGGAGCTGCCCAAATCATCATACCTGAATTTTCCTTGTGAAATATTGAATTAGTTTGAATTATTGATTCTTATTTTCAAAAAATTATTATGGACTTACTATGATGGATATACAATTAATATGCAACCTTTATTCATTTTAATTGGGAATTTTGGTAAGAGATCATGGTTTGACTTTTGTCTGTGAGGAAAAATGGTTTTGAAGAGTGAGGCACAGTGAATCTGGGTTCTTATTTAGATTGCTGCCAAGTAGTCCCTTTTGCCTTTTTTAAAGTTACATGACCTTTCAGTAAGCTTTTCTTCCAGAAACAGAAGAATTTCTTGTGTGGTACTTGAGTACAAAGTGCGATGTTGGAATTAACCCACACGCATCATTATAATTACATTTGATAGGACGGAACATGTTGGTATGTAGGGAGCCTTTTGATATTTTTTTTTGAACACTAAATAATTTGCTATATACCTTTTTGCTCTAGCATGTTAAGTCAAAAGGACTGCCTTTACTGGTGGCCTAAAAATTACATCAGGTTACAGGTTCAATTATGCTTATATACGTTTGTCCAGAGTGCAGGTTTCTTTGGCAGCATGATAACTTCTTAATGGCCTATGGGTGCTAGTGGTTGGAGAGACCAAAACACCTGTGAGACCAAGCGTATTAGCCAGCCAAGTTTGCCAACAGAAAATAAAGCAAGTATTGTTATGGATACCCTAGAGGGAAGAAGTGTATGAAAAATGGTGTATCACCAATGTGGTTGTTAGTCTTTCTTCTTCCTGCAGCTGGGGGAGGACTCTGCCCAGACAGGGATCCTGACCTTGAAAGGCTCCACTTAGGTACGTGTCTTAACTTGCTGGGATTGTGTCTGTCATGATCCTGACAGAGGAAATCAGTGGATGAGATGCAGCCTAACATTTGGAGTGCTTGCTCACCAAGGCTGTCAGGCACTGTAGGAAGATGTGGCTTGCCATCAGTGCTGAGAACACAAGGATTTCGTTAATAGGGCACATATAAAGGCATCTGGGAGGCTGGTCAGCTGAGGAGGAGTTTGTGTCACTAGACAGAACTAGCTTCTCCACAGAGAGAAAATAGTTTCTGCATCACACATTGTTACCATGTGCCCAAGCCCCCTTTTTATTTTGTTGAAGAACACCTGAGTGCAACACAGCGACTGTATGCCTCTATTTCCTTCTTAGGGACCTTTTCCTAGGAGTTTGAAGGTGACCTGTTCCTCAGCCTACTGAGGGCTGGCTGGCAGTTTGAGTGAAGTATCTTGTTATTGAATCTGCCATCTGTGTCGCTGTGGCATCTGTTGTTTTAGGATTTCTTGTTAGGTCTTTGGGGTGATTACTGATATATAGTTTTAACTCTAGTCCTGTATAACTTTTCATGAATATCAGTAACACCATATAAAAAGAATAAATAATCAGACTGGGCAAGCGATGAGGCAGTTGTCTTAAAATAAATAAACGATAACCCTTAACCTCTGAAGGTAAAAGTGGTTTTCAATTCTGAAAACTTTACTCAAGTGGTGACCATTAATCTTGAAATTATTGGTAAGGAAGGCTAAGTAGTGGGTGCCTATTAAATTTTAAACTCTGATTTCACTTATTTTATCTAAAATGCTTCCAAATCTTAGATTTATTAAGTTAAACTCATGTAACCTTAGAACATAAGCAAAACTGAAAGCTAGGTTAAAGGAAATGGGAAAGAACAGCTGAAAGGTAGAACTGTTACTGTTAGCAAAGAGCTTTTAATTGACCAATACTGAATTGTGGGTGAGGGAAGAAAATTTATGGTGCTAATCAATAATATGCTGAAAAGAACTGTGTAT